CTTAGTTGTAAAATACTGAACGCTTCTAGATTGATTGCAGCACGATGTATTTTGTCATACCAACATCTACTATTTTAGTTTTCATATCTTCTCACACGCAGATATCTATCAACTCATAAGCACAATAGCAGGGTCACTAGATAAATCCACCATGTCACATCGAATAATAAACACTTAAGGCGACGCAGAATTTAAGCTTTTTCTAGCTTCCAAAGTAGTGAACCGTTGTGTTAAAAATGTGAATTGCACTGCTAAAATGCGTGTAAAATAAACATTGCGATGGAAACATAAAATACTGAAACTTGAAATATTGATCATATAATTTTCTCACTATAATGCACTATTGATCCAATAAATAGTTTTTGGCTCGTAATTCTGGAAGAATTAACGAAATCTCAATAAACGTTTTAAAAGTCGATGTGTTCTTCTCAAGTATAGAGGGAACTTATTATACAAGTGATTCCTATAGTTTACACCAATCTACCCTCCATCATATAATAATGAACCCTCACAGGTATTATGATAAATGCTTCTTCTGAAAGTGGAGAATAATCAACCCCTAGCCGTAGAATAAGATTTGTTCTGCATGAATCGTATAAGAATCTACCCCTGATTGTTGGATAATAAACTAATTTTGGAAATACGTATATTAATATACATCTATCCGTTTATTAATAAACACTTTGAATAAAATTATAAAATACAAAACCCTTAAAAGAGTTTCATATACCCTTTTTAAATTCATATACCCTTACGATAACAAACCCTTCGGCTCATATACTCCTCATAGGATATAGGATATATGACATACGAATAAGCCCTTCAAGGGTTTACAGAAAAACAAATCAAGGGCAAGCGTTCATTATTCTGCCCTTTTTTTTACAGTGTACTTGTCTCATCTAAATTCGCAACCATCATATATGCATTCGGCTCACCCGATAGAAGTGACCGTAAAGGTGCTTGCGAATGAAAAAAGTCGGGCAAATATGCCTGTTTGCGGAAACCCAATTTCTCACTATAATGCACTATTGATGCAATAAATNTATCGGCTTGAGTAGGAAGTAGAACGGCTATATAGCTTCTGCTTTTAGCCCAAGACAGAACAGCATCCAATAAACGAGCTCCAACACCTTGGCCCTGGCTCATGCGGCGCACACCGAGTAATTTGATGTAAAGTGTTGCACGGTCAGGTTCACTTTGAACAAGTACACAACCGACACAATGATCTGTAAAAATATCGTAGGCACACCAGATATGGTCAACACTTGCAAACATATTTCGAAGCCCTTGATCACCATAATAGTTTTCGAAGAGTGGGCCAAGTACAGAATGAACGTGTTCGTAGGGAAAGTCGCCATTATGATAGATTCGTATTGGCACACTGGTGCCATGGACGTCAATAATTGACCGATGAGAATTTAAATTCATTGTATATAGAATGGTTGATCAGCAAATGAAATTCAAAAAGATTGAAAAAGAACAGCGTAAATGTTGACGTAAACGTGATACTCACATACACCACGTGTGAATCATACTAATGGCTATCAGGCGTCGCCAAACCTAGCAAATGTTGGTAGGAAGGAAAAAAATTGTCATTTGACGTATGAAGACAAATAAAGCATAGCAAGGCAACACTTGTTTTTTTAAATTTTCGGAGTGTGTTTGAAAACAAGTATAAGTGTAAATGT